ATGATCAGGGTGGCACCAGGGCGAGCGCTCATGGGTCAGCACCAAGGCGGGGGGGGGGGGGGGGGCTGCCCTGGTTGGTTTGCGCTGTCTGACAAGGTGCGGTGCGTGATCCACCCAGGTTTTCGTGCATGTCGTCCTGCTGCAGCAGGGCGGCGAGGCGGAGGCAGAAGTGCCTGAGGCGCGCAGAGTCGGGCCAGCCCTGTGTGTCTCGTTCTGCTCGTCATGTCGCCCATCGGTACCCACCCTTGGATGCGCAGCCCGCATATACAGCATGAAAGCGCCAGGTGACGAGATGGTGGGGTCACAGGAGGGAGACGAAGGCCCTCCTGGCTGCTGGCGGCCGACCGCCTCGGCTGGGCCACTCATGTTCCATGCCACGCCTGTGGACGTCCGTGCTACGTGCCATGCCGTGATCCCTGCTTCTGCTGCTTCTTGTGCTTGTCAAAGGCAAGACAAGGAAGGGAAAGGCAGAGGGAAAGGGAGAGGGAGAGAGAGAAGGAGAGGAAGATGAGGAGCGGAGCGAGCGGGTCAGCGCACAGGGCAGCATTGCACAACAGTAGGCGTGATGGAGAAGCCGATGACAGGACTCCGCTGCCGTGTGTGGCTTTTCGACTCAAGAAGTGAGGCTGTCGATGTAGGGTATTGGGAGCAGAAGCTCCACCGGGGGGCCAATGAGGCTGCTGACAGTGCTCGGGCCAGGCCAATGGGGGCCGCCTCGGGCGAGCTGTGCTGCTGCTTCCTGCTGCCGACGGAGCGCCCATGATAGTGCTCCCCGTGCGCCCGTCGCATTGGCCGTTCCCGTCGTGCGTGTCGATCTTGGATGATTGGCCGTCGCTGCCGTAGCCGTAGCCGTCGTCGAGATTCGAGGTTCACTATCGACATGGGCTCCGGTACTCGATCACGAGCTGGCCCCACGGCCAGCCAGGGAGAAGGAGTATGGGTCCTCCAAGGCGTGGCCTGGCCTCGTTCCTATGGTTGTTTGTTGTTGTTGCTGTTGTCGTGTGTCATGGGGTTCGTTTCGTAACGCGGCTCGGGAATGTAACTTTGGGGCGCTCGAACGAGATTGAGAGATTCTCGAGGTTGACTAGAACAGGCGGTCGATAATCTCCGCGATGCGGTGCCTGTGCGTGCCGCCGTGGAGCAATGACGGACCAACATCCCAGTTGGGGACCTGTACCGTGCCATGAGGCAGGCGTGCAATGTGCCGTGCTGGTCGTCAACGACAGGAAGAGTAGGGCCAAGGTCCTCTTGTGAGGACGTAACGTGAGCAGGGGCTGGAATGTCTCAGAGCGTTGATGGCAAGGATCGTACATAATCATAATGACCAAAGTGGGTTGGTTGATCTTCCCAGCCCGCCCATGGAAGGGAGGGAATGTTCGAAGGCCGATGAATGAGTGCCCAAAAGTTGATGCCTTACTGCCGCAGGACAGAGCCTTTCAGGCATGAAGAAAAAGCTCGGACCATTGCGAATGGCGGTCAAGATTTCGACGATATGCATGTAGACCGAATTCAGCCTAGCGCCCTTAGCCGAGATCTGATCTTGACAACAGGGCCACTGAATCATGGCCAGTCAACTCCTTCGAACACGTCGAAATCTCCCGAACCCTTGCAAGCCTTGCCCCCCCCCCCTCTTCGAACTCGAACAAGCAACAAGCATCTGGCCCGAAGCATCCAAGGCGCTTTCTGGTAGTGCCGACCGATTCTCTTCAATTGTCTGCTGATGCTTTGCATACCCAAAGTCTCAGCTCGAACAGCCTGCTACAGTACGGCGGGAACAGACCCTTCGGATCGAGATGGAGGCCCCTTGCTTCTGACGATGGAAACACATGCGTCTGGTCCATCTCCAGAACTAGAACTGTCACTCTGCTCGTTGCAAACAGCCACCAGTCAGTTGCACCTGTGTGCACCACCGAAGGAGACGGGCCTATTCAGCGCACAGGCGCCTCTGCTACCAGGCAAGCGGTGGCTGGCCCCCTAACTACCCAAGCTCCCGCTTCGCTTGCCGACTATTGACATCTGGCGCGATGCCCGCAGCGGCTTGAGCGGCCGCCGATATGTCTCTCCTGAACCTTCTAACTGCCGGCTATTGCGTCAAGCGAGTCTCGCTGGGGCCGTTCGCTGGTGCATCTCCCCACATCCGGGTCGGGGACTGGCCCGAGAGCCTGTCTCCGGACTTGCGACCTGAACTGCCTCACCGCCCGCTCGATAGTCTCCGGTGGATCTATCGAATCAAGGTGTCCCGTGTTTTATTCAGATACACTCACTCTCTCTCTCTCTCTCTCTCTCTCTCTCTCGGCGTCTGCCCTCTCGTCGATCTGGTATGCACATTTCACTGTTTTGCCAGCCTGAGCTTAATGCTAGCTCCGTGTCACAAGGGAGCATTTGCTTTTGCCCATGTGTGTTGTTGCACCATTGCATACTTCACAGTACACATTGCCCGGAGTCCGTCCCAAAAACGCCCGCACGCGTCCAGCGACATTCTTCGGGCAGTTCAGCTAGGACGTCAACATGCCATGCAGCGTTACAGAGGCGCATCCCCGATACTCTCGGCCCCCACAAACCGCCATGCTCGAAAGGACGGTGTGAGCATTCTAGACGATAACATCCAATGACACTTTCTCGCCCCCTCTCTCCCATGGAGTCCTGAAGTGTGCCACTCACCGTCCGAATCGACCATTGCCCGCATGCTGCGAATCGATAGAACATTTTGTGAATCCTACCGGCCGGCCCCATGGGCGCTGTTGTCGATATATGCACAGAAGTGGCCTCAGCGCCGAAATTACATTGTTACAGACTCATTTGCCCGCTACACACCCCTCTCTGTGGCGGGACACTGGACCACCACTCAACAACCGGCATGGCGCTCCGTCCCGAGTGGTCGCCATGCCTCGTCTGCCCTGCTCACTTGTCAGGTCGCTACAAACGCTGACAGCTTGGCGTCCCAGTGCAGGTAGTGCGCGCCTGGCGCGGGACAGAGCGAGAGTGTGAGAGAGACACATACCTCCACGGCGCGCCATGGTACGGTCTGGACAAACTCCCGAGACGGCACGGGCACCGAGACAAACCACCCCAACTTTCGCAGGCATGTTGCTTTTTACTGTACCTCTCCGACGTGCAAGCGCCAGAAGCTCAGCGCACGACACATCGCATGTTGATGCTCCGAGCCAAGGGTCCGAGACCCCCCATCAAGAGGCCTGAGACCGATGAGGCTGGGCTGCTGGACGGGCGGCTGGGAGGGGTGAAAAAGCATTCAAACGCCCATCGTACGCCGGATCGACGAGATCGTGGAACTTTGACGTGTCAGCCGCCGTCCAAAGGAGAAGAACAAACTTCACCGTTGACCGAACCCCCCCCCCCCCCCTCCCCTCTGCAAAGTGGCCAGGGCTGACAGCGCCCTGTCCTCGTCCATCCACCCTTTGATCTCATGTCGGCCTGTCCGCAACACGCCTCAAACATAACACTTCGGCCGGAGGCGTCAGGCTGTTTATGCGATTCAGCCCCCCAACCCTGGCCCTCTAGGCTAATTTCAAACAAGGCTGCACGTTCTGAAAATCACGACGGAGCATCGTCTTGGATCCATGTTGGTCCCAGAGTGTCAAAACATCAGATGACCAGTCCGTCGGCGAATTCTCTACCGGGAACCACGTCGCATTTGCGCTTTCGAACATGAGGACTGAAATAAGCCGATGTGACGAGGCATGAAAGCACGAGGCGACTGGGGGTCTGGTCTGAGACCTCTCATCCCGAATCAGCAAGATGGGCAGTCTTCCCTCACCGACGTGGAACTGCAGCGGGACGCGAGCGAAGGTGCGAAGGTTCTAGGGATTCAATAGTGCGGCCCACTGCCCCCTCCGATCTGGCCCCCAGTGGTACTGCTGCATCACCACATGGCACGGCGTCTTGGGCGTGTTGCGGTTTCGAACAAAAGGGCGAGGAAAGAGAATACCACGCTGTGGGTGCGGCCTGACGATGGAACGCAGGCGTCACACTACCTGGTCAAATAGGGGAAGAAACCCTGGCGATCACGTTGCTGTCATTTCTTTTGCCTGGGGTTTTGCTTTTCTCGCGGGATATTGTCTCGGAGCGACGGTCGCTCAACCCGCTCACACCACTGCCGGAGCCTTGGCAAGACTACCAGCCCCAAGACCACGCACGCAAAGCACCACACGGTCGTTGTTTGAGGAGGCGTCTGTCTACTGGCTTGCGGGTGACGAAGCGACCGTTGAGCAATCCGCAGGGAGCGCTGATCCCGTGACCACGTCACTGGCGCCTGGCGGGGGATCGCTGGCTCAATGGGATGTGATGTGTTGGCGTCTTGGGGGTTTGTTCGTTGGTGCAAGGCGGCTGGTTCCATCACACCAGGGCCCGGCCAGCCTACCATCACTAACACAATACACGATCGACCGCACTATTGGGTCCTGATATGGGGGGTCCCAACCGGAGTCGCAACCGGGACTCAACCTCCCACGCCGACTCACCCGTAGTGCTACTCCAGCTCAGCCGCCTAGGTTGGTGATGCAACTTCGCATTTGCAACTGCGGACACGGGCTAGAACTCAGGTGAGCCGAGCTAGAACAATGAGCCCGCTTCAATTTTGCCTGAAGCTGACGATCGTGATCGATGGGCGGCTCATTTGACAGCGACCAATCCACAAGGCGCAGCGTTCTTCGCGCACGCACATGGAAAGAGGCACAAGCACCACTCACACTACCAAGCCCATCCCAATAACGCGGAGCGCCTTGTGTGGGCTGCACACCCACTCACACCACATCACCCGGACCAAGAGAGCCTGCACAAGCGAGACGCCCGGGCCTTCCCCTCCGGCTCGCCGGGACATGACATCAAGTGCAACCGGCGCAACGCCGCTCTTCGCCCGGGTGGGCAGGTGACTCCAGCACAGGCGCATTGATCTCCGGGCGCGCTACCTAAACCTCGCTGCTTCCCTGAACTTGCACATCGCGATCGAGGATCACCACGCATGGGCCCTCGAGAGTGTGAGGTCAAAAATTTAAAGAGCCCCCGTGGGTGTGCTTGATCTTCGGTCTGACGTCCAGCGAGTCGGGGCGGCTGGTCGGCTGCGTTGTGCTATTCGCCGTCACTTCCTCGAGCGCCCGTCGAGCGCCCGCCAAGCGCTCTCGTCCGATGATGCGCGAAACATGCTGGGTTGGATCGGCATCTCTCCTTGAGACAGATGGCTTTCTCACCCTCTCCATCGTGCCTTGTGTCTAGTCATCCGATGCAGGTTTCGAATGCTGCTGAACGTGCACGCTGTCCTTTCATTATCGCCACCTTCTCCCTGGGTTGCAAGGTGTCTCTTGTCTGTGCGACGGCTACGGCGACGGCTACTACGTCACTGGCGAGGCCGTGCTATTCATCACCGCGTGTGTGCATGAGGGTAGGGATGTTATTATTCAGAGATGCATTACTGGCCATTCCCAATTACGTCCGTCCAAACCCCGTCTACATTGTTTTGTTTGCAGATCAGTATGCACTCTATGCTGCATGAATCGCCACCGCCTGATGAACCACAGTCCGATGATAGTGAGGTTTGAACAGTTCCGGAGCCAGTGACCCCGTTGCAGGCTACTTCGCCTTATCGCAACCCCGTTTCCCGCTCCTGTAGATTGCGCGGTCTGCTGTGTGCATGTAGTGTAGACCTACGCGGGCCGCCTCAAGCACCGAAACAATGCGGCTCTCCGTGTGGAAGACATCTTTCCTGCCTGGTACATCTGCGTTAACATGATTGCTGCCTTGCGATTCTGCCATATTTGTGATACCGACGTGCCGTCGAGTGGTACAGCCGGACGAACTGCAGATGGGGGCAATGGGCGTGTGCTCCTCGTCGAAAGTGAACGAACCTGAGCCTCCCCGGCCAGACTCGCACAAGCACGGCGTCGAGGTGGTCATGCATGCGGCTCGCCGGGTGTCTTAGATGGCAGTCGCTGCCGACGTGGAAGACAGTAAGCAGTCGATGTAAACGGCAATAGTATGTTTGTTTGAACCTGGAAAAAACAGTTGAATATTCACTCTGCTGTCCGGATACATGTGTCAAGTAGGAATATTGTCCAGATCATTCGTGGCTGTCCAAACTTTTCAGCAATCCTAGTAAGCTCAGGCTCCCTGATATCGAGGTCCAACGCGACGAGACATCCCGCGACGAAAACCCACGTGAGGATATCGTACAGGCTGACGTCTCACGTCATCAGCCGCCTCTGCATTCTCGTCGTGATACCTGGCCATGTTGGGGCACGCGAACGGTGCAACGATGGGGTCATGAGAGTTCACCACATCCTCCTTGGCGCCCGGATCGTCACGACGGCATGCTCCTTCTGTGACGGGGTGTGTTTATTGAGGTAAATCGTCAACTTCACAGGCCAGTCTGTACGGACTTCGTCTCGTTGCCTGCACACAGGGCCCAGCGGCTGGTGAATCTCTCCAAGGACAAAGTTCCAAGGGGTCAGTGTCGTGTTTCGGCCCCCCCCCCCCCCCCACAAGAGGTCACGAGGAACCTGGTTCCGCCGAGCAAACTAGCTGCATCGGCAAGTGAGGAAAGCGTTACATTCAGACGGCGGCATCAGACGCCGTGTGGAAGCATAGAATAGGCCTTCTACTGGCATCGTCGCCGGCTCTGTGGCGGAGTGCAAGCTTCAACTCCATCGAGGCTTAGCATTTTTATCTCATGCAAGCAGGGATGCCATGCACGCAACACTCAAGGTGATGCACTGAGCTATGCTCCCATTTTCAAGCTGAGTCATTTCGAAAAAAAGTTTATTGCTGCGATCCAGCAGTGCCAAATCTAACCTGGACATCTAACCGGATCACGATTCATATCGTGATGGGATGCGGGGCACTCCATGCAGTCAGGCCCCCATGGCACGCCGTCTAAGCCGGCGTCAGAGGAAGGCATCTTCCTCCCTCGCCCTCGCCTCCTCCATTACCGCCACGCCTCCCCTACCGCTTCGCAGGGGGGAGTCTCGCCGTGAAGAAGGGGTGCTTCAGGGCGTCCAAGGGCTTGATCCGCTTCTCCGGGTTCAGCGCTAGGCAGTGTTCGAGCAGGTCGATAAATTGGTTGAGATCCCTGGTCTCGGCATCGCTCATCCCCGCCGCTGCGGTTGTGAGGCGCGTACGCAGGTCGCGAGTGGGCTTCACGATCGACAGGGTTCTGACGGCAGTCTGTAGGACAAGGAGTGTCAGCATGGTGCTCTTCAATATTTCCATTTCAGACAGCGCGAGAGTCATCTTCTGATTCAACGCCAGCCTATCCGCTGGACGTGTTGGCTCGAACTTGAGGCCTGCCGGACAGGGTGGGAGCGGGAGGATGCCATGCAGGCGGGCACGTCGTACATCGGGGGCCAACATCGCGCGGCCCGGCCTCCCTAGGTGAAGCTTGTAGACGTCTTCAATCGCACATGCCGGCGCCAGCCCACGCGCCGGCCGTTATGGAGTACATCGGGAGTGACGGCTCCACACGCAACCTGCAGGATCTGACCGCGCCCCAGCGCTTACAGCAAGCGAGAACAAGAATAGCAGCACGACCAAGGGGGTTGGCCCCACGGGGATGGAAGGATGAAGGATCAAGCCGTCGATGACAGGAAAAAGAAAAAGAAAGCAGAGTCACGTACCTTGCCGAGCACCTTGTCATGCTCAACGCTGATGAAGTTGCCTAAATCGTCGAAATGCATCGCTGAGAGCTGACCTCGCTTGTAGAGCTTTGGCGTGATCTTGCCACGTACTTCCATGATGGCCTTGAGCATCTGGTTGTTACTGTCACCCGTGAACAAAATCTTGCCAGTGTAGAGCTCATAGAGAGTGCAACCAATGGACCACATGTCGATGGCGTAATCGTACGGCATTCCAAGAATGACCTCGGGAGCGCGGTAGAAGCGACTGACGAGGTACGGCGTGATCTCGTTGTGCGCCGTGGCAGCGTCTGACCGATCAACACCCGTTCCCAGATCACAGATCTTGAGCACATTTCGATTCTCGTTGACCAAGATATTGTCAGGCTTCAGATCGGCGTGGATGATGGTGCATTTGCGCATGTGAGCCAGTCCCACAAAGATCTGGTGCGCGTACGCCCTGGTCGCGCCCAGGTTAATGCCAACGTTGTTACCAAACTTGCGCAGCACTTCTCGCAAATTGAGACTGAGGTTCTCAAAAGCCATGCAAAGATGGCCGTTGAAGTCGAAATGTCGCTCAAACTTGACAATATGCTTTCGGTTTTCGGGATCAGCATCATTGAGCTTCTGAAGGATGGAGATCTCAGTAAAGCCGCCCTTGCGCAGTGCATCATTGTTGCGCATGATCTTGATGGCAACGAGCTTCTTCGTTGTAATGTCAACAGCGCGCGCCACGCCTGAGAACATGCCCTTGCCGAGCATAGACTGAACTTGATACCGACCGTTCATAACCTCGCCAATTCGGATCTTGTAGTATCCTTCCTTATCGTCACCGTCGAGAATGCCACCCACTGGTTGACCTTGGCCTGGTGTTCCCTTGTCTTGGTTCACCACCATGGCCTCTGACTGCTTCGGGGCGGCATATTTTTCCTCGTCAAAATCGTCGGCAAACATGTCAAAGTCATCGTCATCATCATCACCATCGCCATTTGTGTCTTTTGCCTGTGTAGGCTCAGGTTCTGTGATGTCGGCCTGTGTTTCCGCAAGGGCCTCGCCGTGCAGACCGACGTTACCATGCCGCAACTCATCGCGTTTTCCATCCTCTTGCATGTCAGCAGTCGGATCGTAATCAGCAGCCGATGGACCATCGTCGTCCAAGTCATTGACCGCATGTCGGTTGATGAGATCCGTTTCGGTCAATATGTCAAGAGCTGGTGATCGGACATCCTGGGGAGCGTTGGAGCTCGGTGAACCCATGTCTGTCAAATTAGCACGAGCGACCTTGATGGAAGATGGAAACCAACCTGATAATGGGGTATCGACATCCGTTCGTGACGGTGTGCCCTGTCGAGTGTACGCTGGAGAAGAAATGGTCGAGCGATCAGCAGCATGCACGGCATGAACCAGGAGAGGTGTTGCGGAACTGGACTTGGCCAGGAGCTCAGCACGACGCTTGCGTCGGCGCTCAATCTCGGCTTCCTCGTCGATGACTGCCGGCTCTTCAAAATCCTGAAGGTCATCCTGAGGGGGCTCTTTGCCGTTTGCCTCGCCGTTTGCATGTTCTTTGAGAGGTTTAGCAACTTCTTTGGGAGCACGTGGATCATCTCCTACTGAGGCCCGTTTGAACGACGAGAGTCCATTTCTGAAGTCACGCTGGTTCTGATCATGCTGCTGTGCTGATCGTGAGACGTCACCGCCGCGAGTAGGACCCTGATCATCTCTCCTGTATCTATCGTCTCGCCCGGAGCCGCGGGAGCCTCGGTAGGGTGAGCGACTGCGTTGTCGGGGCCTCTTGTCGGGGTAACGGTCCTGATCCTGCCCGCGCGGGCGACCGGACTCGCGGCCGTGATCTCCGTTGCGCCCATCGTAGCTGTGGTTGGAGGCACGCGAGGGCGACCGGTCCCTGTCGTCGTATGAGATGCGCGAGGACCGCGCATTGTCGCGATCGTGGTCTTCGTAGTGCACGCGGAAGCGACGGGTATGGTCTCGCGCCCTGCCTCCGTAGTCGTGGTCGTCGCGCGTCCGCTTGAAGCCGCGAGGCGAGGGGCTGCGTCGTGACGGGCCTCGCCGCGGGCTGTCGTATTCGGGAGAGCGCGATGCCGCGTATCTATCTCGGGTTCTGTCTGGGCGGTCAACACCGTTTCCGTCAAGCTTCTTCGGCAGTGAAGTTGCCTTCAAGTCTCCAGCATCATGCTCGACGATCTCTCCCTCGTCGGAGCTCGACGTCATCGTTGTGCTGCACGCGCTGTGCGCGTAGGGTGATATGCAAGTCCGGCAGAGGGGAATCCCCTAGGCTTTTGATGCGCGAGGCAGAACGTGTCAGCAGGGGTCTTTGGAGGCGTTTGAAAGCGGCAGGAATCAAGGCGAACCGGATGACTCTGTCGACTCAGCTCATGGGGTAAGAACGACGGCCAAGAGGCAGGGTGAAAGCGATGGTATAGGTAGAGTCAAGGGCAGTTGGCAGCGTAGTTGATAGTGTTGGGCCTGCTTGACACTGTCACAGCAATGGGTTGAAGGAAGGCATTCGCGTGACGTCGACACAAAGGAACTCGCCGAGACCAGGCAGATGGACGCTCCCAGCAGGAAGGCTGGAGGCTGGAGATAACGGAGTAAAATCGGGTCGCAGATAAGCTCATGTTTAATTGCATTAACCGAAGTCCCCGACCGCCGCCCCGATGAGGGGCAATTTTCACCCCTCCAAGACTGCTTGTCCAGTTGGAGCACTAGGCCGTCTGTCGTCTCCTTCTGCATCGCGTCCAACTTCGAACATCTACCTTGCTATTCCACTCCACTAAGACCCAGCACTCACCAGATACAAATCAGCACAATGGGTGGCGCAAACCGCGACGGTTGGTTGCCTCTGTCCCCCACCTGTTCGAAATGGAACATGTAGGGGCCGCCCTACGAATCGCAGCCACTGACCAAGTTTGCAGGTGGCAAGGCCAAGCCTCTTAAGGCCCCCAAGAAGCAGAACAAGGAGATGGACGAAGAGGACGTTGCCTTTGCAGAGAAGAAGAAGGCCGGTAGGTGGACCTCGTTCATGTTCCCCTCGATCCTTGCGCTGACCACACTGCGCCACAACAGAGGAGAAGGCCCGCAAGGAGATGGCCCTCAAGGCCCAGGGCAAGGGCCCTCTGGCGAGCGGCGGCATCAAGAAGAGCGGCAAGAAATAGACGTTCCGAATTGACAATCGACGACCGAAATGAAAGGCACGATCTGCCCGAGCAACATCGGACATCAAGGCACGAAACGTGCTTCGCGCGCGGGAATGGAGTCATTTGGCTTAGACAGCATCTGATACCTGAATTATGACATTTACGGACATATCTGCGGTGAAACAACTTGATTGACAAGCGTTTAGACCCTTGGAAATGGTGTGATAGACCTAACGAGCAGGCTGCGAGGACCGCAAAAATCCCGCCAACGCGATGGCCTTATCATACGATGGCCAATCCAGTACGAATGTGTCATTATCATTAAGGAGTCTGGCTCGTCCTGAATATTCGGCTCAACCCGTGTCTAGTTCGCCAAGCAAGCCGCCTCGGGCCCGTGGTGGTAATCAAAGGCCCTCCCCATACCATACAGATGCGTTGCCGCCGCCATGACGACAAACAAGTGGAAGATCTGATGGGAGCTACCCCAAATGTCGAACCGCTTCGGGTAGCTCCTCTCAGGCCACCTCGCCGCGTACAGGAACGCGCCGAAAACATACATGGCACCGTGCGCCAGAAGCCAGCTCAGGCTCATGCGGCGCTCAAGCTCAGCACGCCCGTAGATGACCAGGCCGTGGACGACGGGGACAACGCCTGACGTGCCGAGGCCGACGAACATGGCAGCGCGGAAGGGGCGCCAGGCCGGCGTGCGGAAGACCTCGAGCCAGGAGACGACACCGCAGCCAATGCCGAGGAGAGAGATCTTGAATAGTTTCTGTCAGCGCTGCTCTTGCTTCAGGGGAGAGTGGTGGCTTACGATGGAGAGGTACAGCGTCATGAGGTGCGGATGGCAGTCAAACCCATAGTATAAGGCTGGCACATAGCTCCCAACAATGAGGAGTACGATCCCGGTATAGTCAAGCTTGTTCCCCCAGCGCGCGACAGCGGGTGAGTGATTCGACAGGGCGTGATACGTGGCGCTCATGCCCATGCACGCAACGGCACCGGCGAAGAAGCAGCCGAAGGCGCGCAGGTCGGCCGTGGTGGCAGACGCATACCGGGGAACTACCTCGTGGTAGAGAAAGATTCCAAAAATGAGGAAGAAGAGCGATCCAAGAAGGTGTGACCAGATATTGACCGACTCATTGTGCAGGTAACTCAAGCTGGCGAAGGAGCCGGAGTATGAATTGGAGTCAGGGCGGTAGCCTGTGTGGATGAAAGCATTGTCACGCCGCCAGGGCGCGAGGTCGTTCCAATCTACGACGCGTCGAAAGTTGTCCTCGATTTTGTTTTCGATTTTCTTGGCTGTTGTGAGGAGGGGATCTGTTGCTGGTTGGATGGGCGAGGGCTGGCGATGGCGCAAGCCTGCGGGTGTTGATTCTTTCATGGTGTTTTCGTACGTGACACTTATTTTATCCTTCCGAGAGTGATTGAGGTTCAATCCTTCAGCGGCGCCGATGATTCTTCTTTTATCATTTCCTAGGTCTCCCAACAGTCGACATCGAGCCCGTTGACGGCCTGCTTGGATGATCGTTTTGTTGGGAATATCCACATGTCGAACGTCCGATGGTCCGAGGCACGTTTGGCACGATGTGAGCCCCACAGCTGGCGTCCATTGGCGGCAGCTGTGTTATAAGAGGCCACCCGACGGAGACGGCATAACTTGACAACGAGCATCCGGGCTTCCATATGAAGAACCTCTCAGAAAATGTGTCATTGTTGGTTGACGTTGATTATTATATCAAATGAGGGTATTATTGTTGTTCAATGGACCAGGGCTATTATTCTGGCAGGTAATCCACGCCGAGGTCCATAACCTTGACCAACCCTGACGCCAGCGAAATGGCCGCCCAGCAAGCAAACTCCATATTCGGGTTCCAGGCCATAGCCGTCGCCCTCGATAGCGGTTCTCGCAGGATGATTTTCTCAGGGTCAGCATAGAGGCCGCCGTCTTCGTCGTTCTCCCCTGCTCCTGCAGCCCCCGGGTCCGCCTCCTCCTCCGCCTTTTTCTTCGTCTTCTTTAGCCGTGGGATGGCCCTACTCTTCTTCTTCGGCGGCCGTGCCGAAGGTGTGTTACGCGCCAAGTTGATCAACGCCTGCGGACCCTTGTTCATGACGGGCTTCCACCCCTGCACGATTCGGGACACGCCGCGGCAAGGGTCATCGGGCGGGTTGAGGTTGGCGCCAAGGCGCATGCGCGGAATGTGCTCGTGCTCGAAGAGCTTCAGCTTCCAAGCGGGCGGGTAGTGGCGAGGAGCGAAGACGCGGTGCATGGGGTTGCAAGCCCATACGGTGCCGTCGAGGAAGGCGATAAGCACAAAAGGGTGCTGTACGCCAACGGCGAGGCATGACAGGAGGGCATCGCCATCGATGACCTTGCGCATCGTGGCGGAAAAAGCCCGCGAATGAAAGAAGCCGACTGTGCTGTTGAGAGGCCGCGAGGACGGGGAAATGGAGACGAATCCTTGGAGATGATCTGACCATTGCAAGAGGTCCGGTTGGGGTACGATGGCGGGGTTCGTCTGTGACGTTGTCTCTACGCTGGGATCGAGTAGGTCTATGACGATGGTCAGGCCACTGACTGGAGTCGAAGCTACAAGATAAGGATTTGAGGGGTAGCCTGTGGCTAAGTGGTAGACGTGTGTGCTGTGTACGGCATGTCTTGAGAGGCACTTCGGAGGATGGAGAGACCAAAGGGCAATGGATCCGTCTGTGTGTGCAGTGACAATGCGGTTGGTTCCAGACCAAGCAAATATAGTGACACTTGCTGGAAGACCCGGTAAACTTCCTATAGTGGCCATGGAAGTCTCGATCTTAACTGTAACAACATGTCAGCTCGCCGGCGAATCGCACTGGGACGGTGCAACATACTGTAAGGACTTGACTCCTTGTCAGGTTCTTGCAAGTCAAGTATATGAACCTGGCGGTCGTTGCACAAGACAGCAAGCAGACCCAGGTGACCTTCAACAGCCGAAGGTACCGGACACCAATGCATAGTCTTCGCCCTGCCCCAATCGAAACAAATAGTCTGAAGAAGCCGAGGTCGTTCCCTTGACGGATACTTCACACCATTCTCTGTCTGCTCCCCCTTGAACTCCCACAGCTGAATGCGGCCCCGCTCCATCTCATCGTTCACATAGTCTTGCTCTTGCTGCCAATCATAGTCTTGGTCGGTAAAGGGGCTCACGGCTAGTGCAAGGATCTGCGTTGTCGTCGTCGCCCGGGGAAGCCAGCTCATGCCCAGGACGAGACCGCCGACATCGAACATCCACCCGGCGGGCTTGTCGACCGCCTTGTCCGTCTCCATGGTATCGGAACCGTATGGGAGGCCGTCCGAAGATAGGACCGTAGTTTCGTTGAGGCCAAGGCTACACTGCTGCTGATCAGGATATGGTCCGCTAAGAATTTTCAGTGCCCCGTCGGTCGAAGACAGGTACGGCGTCGCCTCGAGCTCGTCCAACGGTCGCTGGACTTGGCCATGGTGCTCCTTCCGAACGCGCTCGTACCACTCGCGCGCGATCGCAGCCTCGAGGGCCTCAAAGTCATCGCGAACCCACGGTGTCGGCTGTAGGGCCCATTCCTCGTCTAGCAGTTTGCATGGCAAGACCTCGTATGGTGCCCATTTGCGGAACATGTCAGCAGCTTGCGCAGCGGCATGGGGATCGGGCCCGTAAAAGTCGTCCCAGAATGCCGTGCGTATCCAGGAAGAGAATATTCCGTGATGCATTCGCGTCTGTGTGAACCGGGACTCCTGCGGATACGGATCCATGGCGTTCGCGTCATGGCCAGGTGGTAATTTCCTGCGATTGTGATAGCTTCGCTTCTTGCGATTCACGTTGCCTGTGCCGTTCGCATCCTCGTCGCTGTCGACTACAAGGAATGAGTCGTCCTTTATGTCGACATCCGACTCGTCTGGCGCGATGAAATCATCATCCTCTGCTGGCGCGGCCCCTGCGTCGACGACGAAGTTGTCATCATCGGAAGCTTCACGAGCAGCGCGTCGTGTTGGCGTTCGGTTGGTATCTTCGTCGTCATCGAGTCCGTAGTCGATGGCCTCGGAGTATCTTTTTGAACGGTTCGATTTACGGGTTCTCATGATGGCGAGGTAAGCTTTAGGGTCATGATGAGAAGGCGTTCAGGTTAGAGAGCCAGGTGATTGACACAGCAAGAGCGAGACGCCGGCATGGGCAAATTGTGAGCGAGTCGATCGTTTCCAATATGGATCTTTTTACCAAGTTGATGCCCCTTGGCAATGCATGAGCTAGCGATTGCGATCGTGTGTAGCATTCAATTGTCCCTCTCAATGTGAACCACTTCGAGCCGCCCTCTGGTAGGTGCCTGCATGGATCTTTAGATGCACAGGGCGCGATTCTGGAATGGTTTGTTACATCGTTTTGGGACGTGTGCACGTGGAAAAAAATGTAGGTCAAGCCGCCTAAGTACATATCCCTGTAACAGGGCACCCAGCGCCTGCCCCTCGGACAGTATCCTACAATGTATCAGGGCTCATGGAGTGGTAGGTCGCCTAATCAATATCTCCAATGGGCCAAAGTGCTTGTCGCCAGATATACATACTCTTTCGTACTCGTCTCGAATCATCTTATCCACACGTGGGGATTCAGGGTCAGTCCTGCCAACAGTTAGTCAGGGTGTTTGCTCGACTGTGCAGGAGGGGTGTTCGTACGAAGGATAATTGAAGTTAATGCTACCGTACATCCAGATGATGATGCGCGGCCTGCTAATTTCTGTCACGATCTGCTTGACAGGGGCATTCGGGGAGAAGGACAAGACGATAGACTGCTCGTCGACCTCAAGGAAAGCCCTGGGATCTTCGACAACGCCAATGCCGGCCGAAGCCAAAGCCAGTCTGTCTGCGTCTGTGTAATCTGGGTCTTGTGCGATGCACGCAAGTTCGTTCGTCGGGAAAACGATGTCTCGAAGTAAAAGCATCAGGGTGTGTTGGTGAATGGGGGTCTCGTTGAGGCCGCCTTTGAAGGTCAGCGAGCCGAACCCAAAGGCCACAATCTTGGTCAGAGTAGAAGGCACGGCTTTCATGGTGAGGATCTTTCGTATGCGTTGGAAGTATCGAGAAGCCTCCCACGTTCGAGCGTCTTGAAGCACTTGTTGCAGTTCGTGGTCTGTATACGTCGGAGGGTTGTATACCGACGTGTTGCTGGTTACATGTACCTCCTCCATGGGAAAGGAGACCTCGACAGTCAGGAAGTCATTGCGCGTCCGGAAGTCATTCTTGTTGCGCCAAATCGTGAGAGATTGGATCGGGTTATAGCGCAGTTTGGGGCGACGCCTAGCAAACACATCTTTAGTTCATGGCACCAGGTGCTCGGTCTAGATGTATTCCTACGGTACATATTTTGTGTCTTTGCTCCCACTGCACGGACGTGGCCAGCTCATGAGAGCAGCGGATGTGACCGCGACTCCATCCAGCCCAGTGGAGATAAAGTTCACATGTTGCCCTGCGCAGAAAGCGTCAAGCTGGTCTGCGCAGTGTTCGAGGGATTCCCTTGTAAACAACAGCGCGCCGTCATCATAGAGAGCCTGAGCGTGCTTGGCGGCTTCCAACGGAGACAGCCCACTGCCGTCTTGCGAGCTCATTGAGCGGAGAGGGTTATCTGGGACGACACTGGCACCGTTCATGGGTGCCGCGGTAGAAACGCTCGGTCCAAACGATAGATTCGCGTTTTTGTAGCATTTCACAGTTCCTGATCGCAACAAATGCGGGGTGAGGAGGACACTTGGTGGTGACGTGAGGTGACGTTGACTCGCACACTCTCTCTTTGTGCATTGAGCGCCGCGAAAGTGTCCAGGGGTGTCAGCTGGATGGTCATGAGGCGAGATTGTGCTGTACCCCTCTATCCGGGTTGCCATGCGTATGGCGGGGTCATGCGGCCATGCGTGGTGCTGCTGAGTCAGCACAAAGACAGCCGGCTGGTTCCCCTGACTGTCTGGCCAATTCAACGCGGCGCGACCCTGACCGCTAGCCAAGGCTTCAGGAGTCAGGACACCATCGTCAACTGCTCGCCAAAAACGTCAACGCTCAGCCAACTTCACCACATTCTTTTTCCCGACCGCCAAGCAGACAGACAGACTGAACCCCTCAGCGCTGAACCTCCCCCTCCCACACCCGACAGACGCTCCTTCCTCCGCAGTCATGGCTCCCGCAAAGGCCTCCGCCAACAAGTACTCGGTGATCCTGCCGACGTACAACGAGCGCCGCAACCTGCCCATCATCACGTGGCTGCTCAACCGCACCTTCACCGAGAGGTAAGCCAGCTCCTCTCTCTACGAAACGGGCGCTCGCTCGATCTCGTACACGCTTTCCACGCCGCTAACACTTTTGCCCCCGCCCCGCAGCAACCTCGACTGGGAGCTCATCATCGTCGACGACGGCTCCCCCGACGGCACGCAGACGGTCGCCAACCAGCTCGTCAAGGCCTACAGCCCGCACGTCCAGCTCAAGCCCCGCGCCGGCAAGCTCGGCCTCGGCACCGCCTACGTGCACGGCCTGCAGTTCGTCACGGGCAACTTCGTCATCATCATGGACGCCGACTTCAGCCACCACCCCAAGTTCATCCCGCAGATGGTGGCGCGCCAGCGCGAGGCCGACTACGACATCGTCACGGGCACGCGCTACGCCGGCGACGGCGGCGTCTACGGCTGGGACCTCAAGCGCAAGTTCGTCAGCCGCGGCGCCAACCTGTTCGCCGACACGGTGCTGCGGCCGGGCGTCAGCGACCTCACGGGCAGCTTCCGCCTCTACAAGAAGAGCGTGCTCCAGAAGGTCATCAGCAGCACCGAGAGCAAGGGCTACACGTTCCAGATGGAGATGATGGTCCGCGCCAAGGGCATGGGCTGCACGGTTGCCGAGGTGCCCATCAGCTTCGTCGACCGCGTCTATGGCGAGAGCAAGCTCGGCGGCGACGAAATTGTCGAGTACGCCAAGGGCGTGCTGAACCTGTGGTTCAAGGTATAGAGGCGAGATCCCAAAAAAACCGACAGAGTGCTGTACGGAAAGGCGAGGATGCGCGTGTTTGACTTTTAGCGTTGGGTTGAGGGAACCCCCATCTTTACCAGTGCACTAGTGAGTGCATACATAGCTAATTGTAGGTGATGTTGGCGATTTCAAAACGGCACACGTGGTCTTGACGAAAATATGATACATGCATGCTAGAACTGGGCAGAAGGGGTCACCGTTGGCTTTTCATAGTACAGCTACATGTTGCAACTACATGTTGCGGCCACCCGTCACCATGAGCGTCTGTCCTGACACGTAGCTCAGCAGAGGGCTCGCCAGGGCGAGAATGCTGGACGCGGCCTCTGTCGCCGTGCCCGGCCTCCTCAGCGGGATGTCGGCGTGCTCCTCCCCAGCCGCGGCCGCAGCCGGTGCCGTCGGGATGCCGAGGGCGATCTTCTCGCCGCCGGGACCGGTGACGAAGGCGCCCTTCTCCTTGGCGTCCGTCAGTCGCGTCTTGATGTAGCCAAAGGCGACCGTGTTGGCGCGCACGCCGAACGCGGGACCCCACTCCTTGGCGATGGTCTTGGTGAGGCCCGTGACGCCGGCCTTGGCCATGGCGTAGTTGGCCTGGCCGGCGTTGCCGTGGACGCCCGAGGTCGAGGAGATGTTGATGATGGAGCGGTTGGCGCCGTCCTTGACGCGGAAGTAGGGCGCCGCGGCCCGGACGAGGCGGAAGGGCGCCGTCGAGTGCAGGGCGATGATGGTGTCCCACTGCTTGTCGGTCATCTTGTGGATGACGCCGTCCCAGGTGTAGCCGGCATTGTTCACAATGTGGTGAATCTGACCCTCGCCAAAAGCGGCAGCCTCCTTGACGAGCGTGTCAATGTACGCCGCGTCAAGCATATCGCCCGGTACGCTGATGGCTTGGCCGCCAGACTGGGTGATGCTCTCGGCGACAGCCTTGGCCTTGCCTGCCGAGGATCCTTAGCAAAGTGCGGCAACGGCAGAGATGACGACGCAGAAGACCTACCGGCGTCGATATCCGAGACGATGACCTTGGCGCCCTCATTGGCAAAGAGACGAGCAGCTTCGGCGCCGATGCCCTGGCCGCTGCCGGTGATGATGGCAACTTGGCCGGCGAGCAGACCCTTGGGGTAGTTGAGGTGAGCGGTGAGCTGAGCTACGCGGTCTGACATGGTGGGCGGTGATGATGGAAGTCTGGGGAAGGCAAACGAGACGTTGATGCGATCGCCGAGGCAAGCCGCTGCCTTTAAGAGCTCTAGGCATGGTAGCTTGACTCCCTAGGTAGGTAGGTATCTACCAAGGTAGGCAGGGTGCCATCCTCATAGTGGATGGGAGTGCCGAGGTACCCCGCGGCACCCGTTTTCCGTCCAGGGGTGGAAGTGCAAGTGTGGCGGGGCCGCATCGGGGATGTAGATCGTCGACGTTATGCCCTCGGTGTGTTCCAAGCCAGTCGTTGATTGTCGACATGATCTCCTACAGCCGAGGCGTGCACCTATCAATTGCAGCGCAACAAATGACACAGCGGGAGGTGTTTGTGATGGAAGGGATACGAGGGCCTCCGATGCCAGATACAGGGCACTCAAGAAGCTCGAGGCTGATCGCAGAAGGCGGGGGCACTGTAGCAGCTGTGGCAGGGGGAGCTCCACTGAACGAAGGGGAACACATCAGTTCTTCCAGGCCTTGATCTGGGGTACTATGGGGCATCCCGATAAGGCTGACATAAGGCGATAAACAACAACAACGAGGGAGAGCCCCGTCTCCAATGAGCCCCGCCTCCGCCGCCATTGAACATCACTGGAGCCATCCACCTCCATGGACAGCCCCAGCGCCTCAACCTCACCGTGATGCGGCCGAACAGAGGAAGGGGGTCATCTGGGCCTTGGGGCCGCTTGAAGCCCGTCGACCAGGATGCTCTTGACAGCATCGGCCTGCCCTCCAAGGGAGACACGAGGTCGGTCAACACGCGAGCCCCTCCCCCCGCATCCCTCCAAACCAACAGCCGCAGCTACTAACGCAGCGCCCAGGCTTCTCGACTTCAAGGCCCAAGAACGGTACTACAAGAAGATTGTCGAACGCTACATGACCTTTTGCTCCGACGCCGGCGAACGCGACGAGCTCCTGCGCCGTTTCGCCTCCCTCGAGCTCCAGACCCCGTCTCCCACGCCCGCGCCCACACCCCGCCGCATCCCGACGACGCCCACGTCCTCGGCGCCGCCGACGCCCAACATTCCGGATACCAAGGGTCTCTCGGACGTCATGATGGCCCTGCGCAAGCTGCGCGAGGGCATCGTCGCCTCGAAGCGCGCCGACGAGTTCGCCGTCCAGGCCTACCTCTTCAACATCCGCCTCTCCATCCTCGTCAAGCATCCCGAGTCCTACCACCCGGCCATCCTGCACCTGCTGCGCTTCGTGCACCCCCTGCAGCCGCTCTCGAGCCTCGAGCTGCACGAGGTCCTGGCCTACCTCGTGCTCGACACGGCCTGCCGCCGTAGCGACCTCGCCGAGGCCTACGCCCTGCGCAGGCGGTACAGATTGAAGGACGGCAAGGTGGATGCCATTCTCGGCGCGCTGGCACACGACAATTACGTCGTCTTTCGCAAGGTCAAGCGCAGCGTCGACGGGCACAAGGCGCGCTTGATCGAGTTTGCCGAGCCCGCCATGAGGACGCATGCGCTCAAGTGCTTTGGCAGGACATACCTCTCTGTCGAGCGCGAGTTCCTCGAGAGGTGCACGGATTCCGAGTGGAAAGTCCTCACGGCGCAGGAAGGGGTGGGATGGGAACTGGATGGGGAGAAGGTTGTCATTCGAAAAGTCAAGGGGCGCTAATGGGTTGAAGTTTTTTTTTTTTTTATCGTCTGGTGTTTGTCTGGTGGGCGACAAAGCATGATACCCGTGGGAGGAGGTCAAGAGAGTCGTCTTGATGGGAATGAGGAAGAATTCAAAGTCTCTTGTTTTCAAATCATATTTCAAGTTTGCCGGTCCTGGCGAATCGCTCAGCTGATGACTGGCTCCTTACACTGCCGGTCTACACCCCTCTCATTACGACGCTCGTCGTCCACTGTCCGCTCTCCGGGTCATATTCCAGCCCGTACTGCGTATGCCCATCCTTGACCCCCTTGTACTCGTGCGCAATCTCCAAATTCGGCTCGCCGTAATGGCCCATAAACTCCAGCTCGATGCGCAGCGGCGCGCCAACCGGCAGCCGCGCGTTGAAGTGGATGACATACGGCTCCGTCCGCGCAGGCCGCCGCGCATGCGCAATCTTGACCGACCGCAGAAACGTCGCAGGCGTGCCGTCGACGTCGACACCCCTGACGCGCAGCACATGCCGCTCGTCGCCCGTCGTCTCGAGCTCGACGACGAGCCGCCTCCGCAGGCGAAACGCGGGGATCGCGAGCCCCAGCCTGGCCATGACGGCCGCCATGAGATCGTCCGTCCTGGCGAAGACACGCTGGCGCGCGAGCCCGTCCAGCGGCGTCGCTTGCAGGTTGCAGATGACGAGGTCGCCGGCGCGCCGCCGGCCCACCGTCTCCGGGATCTCGCAGGCCGGGGGGACCGTCAGCGAGGAGCCGAGGGCGAGGCAGAGGTCTGCGGAGGCGGCGTGGTCTCGCGCGCGCTGCAGGGTGGCGGCCGAGAGGTTCTCGCCAAAGTTGATGATTGTGTCGAGGAGGACGCCGTGGCACGAGGCGCACTTGCGGCCGGTGCGGTGGTCGCGGATGGACTTTTCATATGTGGACACGGCGCGGAAGTCTGTTGGCTGTTAGCTGGCGGGGAGACCGGCGGGGCGAGGACATGGGGGAGAGGGACCGCGGAGATATTCCTTGCCGCAGTCACGGCAGTACTCGAGGTTGCTGTTGCCGTGCAGTTCGGAGATGCGATCCTGTGCCATCTATAAGCCCAGTGTGCATGCCACGCCCTTGTCCTGTCTGCGCTCACAGGCAGTATGCCGCTTCTCCTGTGCAGGCCGTCGCAGTTCTGGCTGACGAGGTACTTCAGGATGCCCTGGTTCTGGAGCTCGACCAATGCCATGTGTGTCAGCGTCGGAATGGCCTGCAGCGTATTCGTCGTCTTCCCAGTGCGCTCCCGTCCCTGGGCCCGAAGCGTCCACGCGCCATCAGGGCCTCGAAAGTCGGGGATGCCTGCGAAAAGCATGAGTGAGGTTCATCGACACAAGAACACTAGTGTTTACCGGCAGATGTCGAGACACCAGCTCCGGTGAACGCGATTATGTGCTTTGCCTTCCGGATATAGCCCACAAGGGTTTCGGCCTTGCGATCGATAACATCGGGGTTCTCGATGCGCTCGAGCCCGGCGATTTTGGGTGCTGTGTTTGCCATCGCGGTCAGTCGGCTCGTAGAGGCTCTACTGCGTGCATTGTGGCAGACATTATTGCATAGCTGGCATTTATTTACACCCAAAGGTCATCCTGCGCAGAGGACTTGGTGGTCATGCCAATGGGATCACCACATCCAATCGTTGCCACCGAACGAGACGAAGTCTAGGCAGCAACCCACGTGACCTGGAAGGATGAAAGTGGCGGCAGTATTTTCATCAAATGTAGAGAAATACAATTCGATGTCAGCCGGATGTTTGGACTTCAGTGGTACCATATTTGAGGACACCACGATGGTGCCGTCACTACGACAAATAGCCTATTGGTGGTGCAGGTAAGAGAATGCCGACCACCAATTAGAAATAATCCAAAGGCCCCAACAGGGTTTACACAGATGAGTTCGAGAGACAGAAAAAATCAAAGAGAAAAGCCTCAAGCTAGCTTTTCCCATGCAGCGGTTTCTGGCTTGTGGCTAGGACTTTCCTACCCCTTAACCCACGTGGCATTCATCATGTAGAACGGAACACTTTGATGACTTCTTCGAGAGTCACAGCGTAAAAGCTGACCCTGAAATAACACCGTATAGATCACACCACAAAGCATCTGCCCTTTGAATCCAGTCTCCCTGGCGTTGCATGATAGCCCCGTAAAGCTCAAGCTCAAGCTCAAGTCCGGCCAAGACGGCCTCACGGAACACAATACACAACAGCCAATGCTCAGCATCGTGATAGGGGCAGAGAGGGGGCCGAGAAGAGGGTCCATTGTCCCTGCATAATTCCAGCAAGAATCAATAGCTTATTTCGACAGCAGGGAATTATCATTGCAGTGCAGGGCCTGGAACGTGTCACACGATACTATCCCGTCTTGAGCATCCTCCAGGAGCCAAGGCTACCCACCAGACCAGCCGGCCAGCCAGTAAGCGGAGCAGACCCCCTCCAGAAACCCCGAGAAATCTCTTTCGTGGCCGGTGAAAAAAATGTATGTAATTGAATCCGTCAGGACGAGGTCTGGGTATACCTCAATTTTCTTGGCACACTTGTGGCTGAAAGGAAGCAAGCTCAACTGCCGTTGGCTTGCTCACGGGACACACTTGCAACGCCACCCTGCACGCCTCACAGCGGCAGTCACAAGTAGAGCGAGGATTGAACTCGGACTCGCTCTACCTCCAACTGCCTCTGCGCTTCAACGCACATCCGACATCGGGCCAGCATGGCAACAGGTAACAAGACTCTCCGCGTGGGGCGGTTGACGTGTGCAACCAACGTAAGACGCTGACAGATTTCTCAGGGCCATGATGCACAATGACAGCTCGGGTCTGCCCCCTGGAGAGACTACGAGCTAGGAGCCAGGGCCCAGGGAGAATGCAGCAGAATAAGCTTTTCGAATGAAGCTATGCCGCTGGCGATATCCCCGAGACCTCGCCTCGGAGGTTAGAATTTGGGGCCATGGGTACGATGCCGTAAGTCGCCACGATGTTCAGACACCCGGCACTCAACACACTGATTCCGAGTCGGCAATATCAAGTTCACCCGCAGAAGCATCATAGATTCGTGTCCGCCCACTATTTACCGCACGGGTTTCCTAGCGCCGGGCGTTAGTTAAAGGTAGCGCGGTGCGACGACGCGGCGTCGAAGTTTTGATCTGATAATCTTGCGCATTGCGCGCCTACCCCTTTCTGGACGGCTTCTCGGATGCTGATCGACGGGTGGTGGGGCTACCTGCTGCGAGCTGCTGGAGCTCGGCGTGGAAGCATGGCATGCGCTGTATTTTCATCGGCGTCGCCTTGTGCCGAGGGTGGTTTCGCTGAACATGGATGCCCGCTCCGTGATTACCATTCGT